AACTAAAACAAAATGAAACTCGTCTTCTATGTCATTAAGAGTACACTTTGTACATAATCTATTAGTTCTAACAGTGCCAACATAACGTCCAGATTCAATGTTTAATTTATGAGCTGACAGCCTAAGTCGAGCAATTTCTTTCATATAACCGATATTAACTGATTTTGTTAGATAAGATTGTAGTAAAATTGTACTGTTTAATTCTCTGTAAAGCATACCTTTAGACATACCTGTAATTAAACTATATCCCTCTTGATTAAAAATGTCAAATAATCTTGCCTTAATAATTAAAAAAGTGAAATTGTTTCCATTCTGTGCGTCCCAGATATATCCTAAGCCTAAACGATACAATTCATCTTTTATTTCACAGACCCATGGATCCTTGATTAGCAGCATATTTTCATAACAGGATTTCAAAATACAGTTTTCGGTATTGAGCAATTTAAACCAATATTTAAATATTTTTAGTTTCCTTGTTACATGCAATGGATAACGGCCTAATTCGAAATATACCATCATATTCGGAGTGGATTTGCGCACACCTAGCAACCTTTTACAAAAATCTACATGTAGTTTTTCGATGTCGGGGCCTTTATGGAATCCCCATACTTCTGATCCGTAGTTGACTATACTACTGACATAAGTATCAAACACTGCTAATTGAGTCTCAATATTAAAATACTGTTTTTTACATACACCCAATAATGCAAACAATGCTTTTCTTCCTTGTTCAGATATTTTTGTCTGTGTTTGTTTAAATTTCCCATTATAATTCAATAAGATTCCAAGATAGTTGAATTAATTCACTATCTCTAACACACACCCATCGTATTCCCATTTTTCATTATCTTTTAATCTTCCCCCATTTCTAAAAACAAAAATCTTGGTCTTTGAAGTATCTACAGTAAGGTCCCACTTGATAGTGTAATTTAACAAAGAGTGCTGCACACTGAGCCTCCGATTTTGCTATGACATATTCCAGGGGTGTAGAAAGCGAAAAAAGTGAGCGTAACCCCTGGATATCGCGGATGGTATTAAAGGTACAGTAGTTATATTCCTCCTATGGCATTTGAATGACACAATTACTATATAATTATATCATCGTCGTATGCAACATATTCAAGCTATTATTTTGATACCGAATGTACACTATTTCAAGCAGGAACTGTTCTTTTTATTGAAGATTAAAGCAGAAAAGTATGTGAAATTTCATAACTTATGAGACACTTCTCATTTTGGACACGTTAATTCACATAGTTCCAAAACGAGTCCATTGCTCATTCTTGCTTAAAAGTTGGCTACCAATAATATTGTTCAACGTCAGGAATTCCAATAAAATTGACAGCCTGTAAATTTGTCATATAACACCTTTAATTTAAAAAAAACAAAAAACAGAGCTTTCTTTCCACTTTTCCTTTAACAATTGTGTTTCTTCATAACCAAAGGTCATTTGGTCTGGATTTTTGGCAAGTAGGTTCTTAATCTGATGGATATAAGTATGGTAAACAATGGTGACCTTGGCCTTCGTTCAGGGTCATAAGAACAAAATATGCTAAGATATGATTTTTGTGTGGGGAGTCAGACAATATCATTTCTTGCTTTACATGTTTAGAGTTAAAAATATATAAAATAATGTAATAATCCTTCATATTTTCTTTAATGAATAGGCAAAAGACAAAATAGAATAATAAAGCATATATTAGTTTTATTATTAAAATTATTTCATTGTTTTTATATATCTGCATATCTTTGTCTATAACAAAATCTCAACCATGAGCTGTTCTCCAGAGGAAAGACTACTTTTGCAGAATACATATTTATGAGTTATCACTGCTGCACATAATATAATGAAGTGTTTTTGTATACCGTCTTTGCGTATTGCAGAGTTATCTTCTCTTGTGAGCATGTATTGATTGTTACGTCATTGGTTTGTTTGAGAAAATTACGTCGTTTTCTCAAAAATTGATGACGTTACTCTCACAAACAAATGACGTAACAATCAATGCCTGCTCACAAGAGCAGATAACTCTGCAATACGAAAAGACGGAATAGATCTTTGATTCCACTCCCGATACTCTACATTCCAGTCAAAAAGTATAGGGAGTGGAATCAAAGATTTGGTTTTAATCAGATTGGTATAGTATAAAAACAGAAAATGTATCGGTTTATACCATGATAAACAATGATAATCAAATTCTTCATGATTATGTGAAACTGTGCATTGTCCGTGTTTGGCATACTAAATAAAAGTACTTAACCGGTTTTGCTATTACATAAAAACGATTCTGTAGAAAGAATAGATATATAGAGAAAGTTATTTTAAAGAAGTTTAATATATAGACTACCATTGTAACTATACATAGGCAAGTTGACAATGTCGGATATATTTTAAATTTTGTGAAAATTTTGCATGTTTTTCTAATTAAAAGTATCACTACGCTTACTTTATGTATACCAATATGACATATTTAATATCAAAATAGCAGTAATATCACAATTTCTCATTATGATTCCGATACCCTTCATGGGATGAGTGATGTTTTCTGTAATTTCGGAAAGGCCCAGCGACATCCTATTAAAAATCCGCCTCGACGGAATTGACCGAAATGTTGATATTGAGTCTATAACCATAACAGTCAGTTTACTAATAAGAATTTGAATGCTTTGTATCGAACACGCATACTGCCCGCCCGAAGCAAATTAAAGGCAATCAAATGACCACCTGTTTGTACTTTATTAATACAATTATCACATATGGATGCAAACCGTAGTCTCTCTAACTCTTTTGACAACAGTGGTGTGGAACCGTGGCAGAACTCTTTTGACAACAGTGATGTGGAACCGTGGCAGAACTCTTTTGACAGCAGTGATGTGGAACCGTGGCAGAACTCTTTTGACAACATTGGTGTAGAACCGTGGCAGAACTCTTTTGACAACAGCGATGTGGAACCGTGGCAGAACTCTTATGACAACAGCGATGTGGAACCGTGGCAGAAATCAAAACAAACATTGCACGGTACAATCGTACCAGTTAAAGTAAGGATGTACAATTAATGTATAACAACAGCCTAGATTTAGTACAGTATTCTAAGAAAGGTTCAGGAATAATGTTCATAAAAAATTTCCTATCCAATGATTTATATCATACAGGTCAAATAGACCCTGCACTGCCCAGCATTGGCAATCAACCACCATTAATTACTGCATACTTCCCACCTCTCACAATGGAAAAGTGTGGGAAATAAATCACTTGCTACCACAGTCCACTGCACACATAATCCCCTTTCATGGCCAATCATGATTACATGACCATGAAAGGGGGTGTGCCCAGTGGACTGTGGTCACAAATGCTGTAAGAAAGGGGAGATAATCAATAAGTAAGTAATGATGAAGTCAATACAGTGGAAAGGATAAACTTGATCGACACATTTAAAATAAGAAAAATAATAATAAATAAAGTTAAAAATGGTAATTTCATGATTGAAAAACAAACAAACAAAATTACTGAGTTGGCAGCGTTATTGATTTCCTTATCACGTGAGAGGATAAGCATTTCATTGAAAAATTTATAATCTTTAGGAGCTGTTTTTTTATACAAAATTGCACATTCAAATATACCATTCATTGAAAGAAATGGAATTCCTTAGGGATTGATAAACCCTTACATTGTATGTATGAAAATGGTTTCAATATCCTGTACCTTTGCCACATCTTCAAAATTAAACTGAAAATGTAGTCAGAAATTCAACATTGTTTCCCGTATTTTGTTCTACTTGTTGAACAGAGACTCCTTACCTTCCCTGACACTGGAGCTGGATAGTAATCAGAAACACTTGTATCCATTATGAAGGATACACTCAGACTGGGCTATTGAGAATAAAGACAAACTTACCTGGTTCTGATTAGTACTCACTCACACAGGTACATGTAAATTATCTGCAGTGTAGGGTAGGTAAAAAGATTGTCCAGGTGAATATTTTTTACTCAAATTTTCTGTTTTGTTCGAGTTGGAAAGCATGCAGTAAGCCAGTTATTGCATGATTTCTCATCACTCGGGACTTATTACACCCTCGCTTCGCTCGGGTGTAATAAATCCCTTGTTACTCGAAAACCATGCAATAACCTTAACTTGTTTCCCCACTAGCAGGACATCACTAATTAGGTTGTCCCACTTTCTAGTCAGCACTAAACCGCTGGTCACCCACCACTCATCCGTTTGGTCCTACCTTCAAGCCAGCGATTAGGTGACATAGTGATCTCTCTTTACAAAACTGCCCAAGAAACCCAGCGGTTTCATAATAAAACTACCTTTGCTGGAAACGAAGGCCACCCCTCCGCATTAAAGACATTTTGGTATCTGTGGAGTATACCATATATATAGATAGGTGTCCGTCTTATGGAGGTGCCGACAACTTTGCACAAGTTTTTAGGTCTAGTGGTCACCGCATCAGGGCCATGGAGACCCGGAATGATATAGAATATATATTTTAAGACATAATGAATGTTATTAGGCGTACCAGATGGTAATAATTCAAACCAACCACAGATAGCGTAAAGGTAAGAGAACCTGTTTCTGAATTTTCAAGACCCTGTGGGCGAGATAACAATGTTTCTTATACATTTATTTCAATATCTATCATGTTCTACAGTTGCTATACGAGAGGGTTGACGAACACCCCTTCTATTTCCGTTGGCAATGCGCTCATATTACTTCAAACATATAGCAACAATATTTACACATATATTTGAAACTGACTATATTAATAACATGATCTACAACGCAGTGGGGTGTCTAGATATAAGTCTAGTGTATACACGGGGAGAGTTTTTAAGTGTTCAAGATTTCCTGGTGAAAAGGGGGGTAATACATAGATTTTAAAAGAAATTAAAAGGCTAGAAGGTTTCCCAAAGCTCAGAAAAAATCTGGCTCCGCCACTGTTTAAAATCTAACATGGCATGCTCATGCTAAGATTTCTATATAAACAACAGGTAAGACTCACCGTAGGTAGATCCAGTGATAACCACCAGCCCAGCGTAAAACGCCAGAACCGCATCCATGCCTTTTCAACAACGAAGAGTATATCACAAAGAAATTTCACTACCAGTGCCAAGTACTCCAATATCCGCGCTGATTTTTAACACAGTTATAGGTTTTCCCCAGACATGTTTTCGGCCAAGCACTTCTGGCTGGTTTCAAACACCACCAATATCGTAATGGAGGCAGTCAGCTGTCTATACAGATAGCTATATACAATGTAGACTGTTTATACCCTAAGCCAGACTGCTGGTGTTAGAATCGGTAGCAGATAGCTCACAACGCAATCACTACACTGGCCGTATCAGAACTACAGGAGCTGTAGTGGGCTGCCATATAGCGCTGATGCGCTACTGAATCGAAAGGCTTTAATCAAATCATTTAGAAATTTTACCTATTTTACACCATCAATGTGTAAAATTCACCTAACCCTGACAAACTTCTTGTTGAATTTTCATGTGAAGTAAAAAATAGTTAATAATCATGTCGAGAGATCTCTGATGTTTATATGTAAGGAAGCTGCTGAGTCGTTATCAACGTATGAATTCCGCTTCCAACTTGGCGACGGTGTCGATTGCTTGACAACGCTGATAGCGAACACAATACACAGCTTTTGCAGAACTATATTTACAGTTTTCGCCAGTTGTCAAAAACAGGACGTTTGGATCGAAACTCGCGGTCGATAGCAGGTGCCTGTTTCGTGTTAACAGTTTGTCTGTGTAATACCATTTCTATAACGTCTTTGTCAGACGTATAAAACTGATCTCTCTGGAATACGTATATCTCTTCCCAGATTACACACCTATACCGGAATAACACATAAACTTACCCAGACACCACATATTTCTGCCTAGATAACATCTACACAGGGTAAAAAAACGTACACACCCAGTGTAACACGCATAACTCCTCAGGATAACTAACAAACATAGCTCTGTACACAGGGTAACACACATACCTTACCAGGGTGACAAACATATCTATCCAGAGTAACACACATACCTACCCAGGGTAACACACATACCTAACCAGGGTAACACACATACCTACTCAAGGTAACGCACATACCTACCCAGGGTAACACACATACCTACCCAGGGTAACACACATACCTAACCAGGTAACACACATACCTACCCAGGGTAACACACATACCTTCCTAAGGTAACTCGCATTACTTACTAGGGTAACACACATACCTACCCAGGATAACACACATTACTTACCAGGATAGCACATATAACTACACAGGGAAACACACATTACATACCAGGGTAACACACATACCTACACAGGGTAACACACATTACTTACCAGGGTAACACACATACCTGCCCAAGGTAACACACATTACTTGCCAAGGGTAACACACATACCTAACCAGGGTAACAAACATACCTACCCAGGGTAACACACATACCTACACAGGGAAAGACACATACCTACACAGGGTAACACACATACCTACCCAAGGTAACACACATACCTACACAGGGTAACACACATAACCACCCAGGGTAACACACATACCTACCCAAGGTAACGCACATACCTACCCAGGGTAACACACATACCTACCCCAAGGTAACACACATACCTACCACAAGGTAACACACATACCTACCCAGGGTAACACACATACCTACCCCAAGGTAACACACATACCTACCCAGGGTAACACACATACCTACCCAAGGTAACACACATACCTACCCAGGGTAACACACATACCTACCCAAGGTAACACACATACCTACCCAAGGTAACACACATACCTACCCAAGGTAACACACATACCTACACAGGGTAACACACATACCTACCCAAGGTTACACACATACCTACACAGGGTAACACACATAACCACCCAGGGTAACACACATACATTTTTACTTACACAGGGTAACACACATACCTACCCAAGGTAACACACATACCTACACAGGGTAAAACACATACCTACCCAAGGTAACACGCATACCTACCCCAGGGTAACACACCTACCTACTACATTATAAAATTTACTGAAATAAATTGAATTTAAATGAACTTCAATCCGTCTATGTTTTTCTATTCTCAGGAATATAATCAAAAAGCTAACATCGAGTTATGTGCTCACGTAAAAATTAGCTGTTGCGTGTCATTGTTCAACTGTCAATGAGAAGAGGGTATACTTATCCTAGTTGTAACCGGTGAGAGGGGGCTTGCTGTGTACATGATTGTATCGATCCGTCAGCGCCACGTATCACTGGAGACATCTCAACAGCCGGCCTAAGGAGACTCGCCACGATGGGTAGAGAAACACTTAGTATAATGGTCCACCGTATGATACTCAAAGATTGAAATAGGAAAGAACATAAAAAAGATAAAATTCCGGACTAACAAGGTTTCTTATAAACACAAACCAACTGAAATGTCCGGATTTATAAGGTTTCATTGTATACACAAACCAATTTGTCCGGTCTAATAAGGTTTCGATGTACATGCAAATCAAAGTGTAAGGACGAATAAGATTTCCTTTACAATTTACATAAAAACCAAAACGTCCGGACTAATATCGTTCCACTGTGCACACAAACCAAAGTGTCCGAACTAATGAGGTTTCCAGTATACATTAACCAAAGTGTCCGAACTAATGAGGTTTCCAGTAAACATAAACCAAAGTGTCCGAACTAATGAGGTTTCCAGTATACATTAAACAAAGTGTCCGAACTAATGAGGGTTCAAGTATACATTAACCAAAGTGTCCGAAATAATGAGGTTTCCAGTATACATTAACCAAAGTATCCGAACTAATAAGGCTTCCAGAATACATTAACCAAAGTGTCCGAACTAAAGAGGTTTCCAGTATACATTAACAAAAGTATCCGAACTAATGAGGTTTCCAGTATACATAAACCGAAGTGTCCGAACTAATGAGGTTTCCAGCATACATTAACCAAAGTGTCCAAACTAATGAGGTTTCCAGTATACATTAACGAAAGTGGCCGAACTAATGAGGTTTCCAGTATACATTAACAAAATTGTCCGAACTAATGAGGTTTCCAGTATACATTAACCAAAGTATCCGAACTAATAAGGTTTCCAGTATACATTAACCAAAGTGTCCGAACTAATGAGGTTTCCGGTATACATTAACCAAAGTGTCCAAACTAATGAGGTTACCAGTATACAATAACCAAAGTGTCCGAACTAATGAGGTTTCCAGTATACATAAACCAAAGTGTTCGGACCTATAAGGTTTCTTTTACACCCAGAGCAAAATATCCGAGCGAATGTTTCGCTGTACGCCGAGACCAATATACATGTACTTACAAATTGAAGTCAGGGGTTAACCTATACGTCACAGGCGGAGATCACGAACACACTTTTTGCCGCCATTTTTGTCCCTTCAGGGGATAGATTTCCGTAAAAACTAAATTTAAAATTTGTTACTGAACTTCACAATATGTGCACGGGAGGGAGAAAACATTCTAGATGCTTTTTATCAATTATATTGATCAAATACTTCTAGGCTTGTTTATGCGCAGAACACGGTCAAACACTTTATTTGCGTAATAACGTGTTTTTTCGCGTTATAACGTAAGTGACCCTGATAGGCTTTCGTACTTTTCGAATGTCACTTAAGTTAAATTTTGCAAGGTTTATACGTATATCGAGAGCGTATAGAATACATTTACATGGTGAATGATGTAACATGAAATAAAACATTTGTACAGTCGTGTATATAGCTCTATGTTGATGCATTTAAACAAAGAAAACAAAAACGGAAAATGGAGGAACGTAACGGTCACACAATCATTCGGCTGGCCGATTCGTCAGTACAAACCTATGAAGAGTTAAATTGTCATAGCTAGTTATGTTATAAAAAACTGAGAAACTTACAGTTTACAGTTTATTTTATTCCGTAAGCTTTACAGTTCATTGGTTGAGCATAAAATGTATGTTACAAAGATGGCATAGTAAATACATACACTCATATACTAGTAATACAAATGCGCACAACACACCCTAGTTTTATAATTTGTCACAATTAACATCATCATCATCATCATATACATCATTCCCGCTCATCATTACCACTCATCATCATCATCATCATCATCATCATTATCATCATCATTCCCACTCATCATCATCATCATCATCATCATCATCATCATCATCATCATCATCATCATCATCATCATCATCATCATCATCATCATTATCATTATTACCACTCATCATCATCATCATCATCATCAGTATTACCACTCATCATCATCATCATCATCATCATTATTACCACTCATCATCATCATTATCATCATCATCATCAGTATTACCACTCATCATCATCATCATCATTATTACCACTCATCATCATCATCATCATATTCTTTACTTCCTAATACATTCTAGTGGGTACCGTCCCAATTAAAAATTACACTATTGCGTTACACGTGGATTTCTTAACTTTCAGAATACTCTTACAATAATATAAGCGCACCCTTTCGATATCCAAACCTTTTGAAGAACCCCAAACTTCACAGCCACATTTCAGTATACTACAAACGTGAGTGTCAAATAAATGTAGTCAAGTTTAAAAATTAAGGCTGAAGTTAGAACAGTTAGAAAGAAGAGCAAACATAACGTTACGACCTTGGTCAGCAAGCTGCTTCTGAATAAGATTAATTTCATTTTTAAATCTAAGTTTCACGTCTAAATAGCTAAATGCGTCTACAATTTCAATTTTATTATTATTCTATGCCAAGGTTTCACAGTCCTTAATACGACTTCCATTTCTGAAAACAACCTGCTTTGTTTTTGCTGAGTTTACTGTTAACTTACCCGATGGAAAACTGTTTTAAAGTAAGGGTACTGATAAGTACGGTTTTAACCATAGTATCCTTTGTTAGTCGCACCTCGTTGTTGCCTATACCTAGCCCGAGTTTCCTCTGGCCCTGACACCAGACTTGGACATTTTGACAGACAGATTTCTGGTGTGGAATATATCTGTCATAATGTCTAAGTCTGGTATCAGGGCCAGAGGAAACTCGGGCTAATTGATGCCTTGCGAATACTAGTATTAATATAATACCATATATTACTATCCAATAACATATGATATACACACTATACAAGTTATTCAATTTGAAATACACCTGTACGCCTCTAAA